GACAATAAAGTTAGAGTCTATGTATGAAAGTCAGCATTTTGGCCAAAAATAGACTTTTATGTCAAGTGCATCCTACTATTAATGTCATATTTGGTAGAGATTCCAGCATTTTGGGTTGTATTAAAAAGAAAGCAGCAAATTAAAATGTTCCTGTGAAAATCCCTTTGTTACGGAAATATCCCATTCAATTTATTCAGCAGCTGTATTTGTCAATCCCAAATGCAGAGGGGAAAAAAACCGATGCCTCTTCATAGGATTTTCTGTTCCTTCCTTCCAGAACACTCATCTTCTACCAGATACAAAGACACAGAGCTCATTTCTCTCCTCCCCTAAACCAAGAAATTGTAGCTGTAAGGCTGGTTTAAATAAGAAAATCTGTGCTCTGAGAGAGAAGTAATTTTAGAGACAGGTTTTTTGATCTCTTTGTTTCTTCCTATGTACGTATATAAGCAGATGTATGTGACATTCAGACAAACACTAGTTTCTGGAAGGAATCATTCATGCACTTTTAGCCAACTACAAATCAGGTGTCTAATCAAAGCTAGGTGACTAGCCTTCTCTCTGGGTGATGAAAAATGAGCATTTCCAGAAGGCAAATCACTCTGTTTATCATAAGGTGAGATGAAACACCCTATGGACATTCTCATCTTCCCTTACAAATGCAGAGAAACCCTAGATTACCAGTTTAGGCTGGACCCTTGAAGGAAGCAGTCTAACACCCATCTTAACTTTATAGCCTAAGCAGATCACTTCAGCTCTCTTATTAATAAAGAGGGATGGCTTCCTCCTTCATCTCCATCTTAAGACACCTATTTTATGGTAAGAGGACTTGCCTCCTGGAGAAGTCTATGTTCCTTTCTGTAGACTACAGCAGCAGGCTACAATGCAAGGTTGGACTAAACTGTCCCTAGATGTCAACCTTGGGCCTAAAGGCTGGTTGACAGTAAGAGCTCATTCCTCCAGAGGGATCTACTACCTGACTGCACATAGGTACTTGAATTAGGAGACAAGATTCCTTCTGGAAACCTCTAGGCTGCTTCTTTTAGTTGCCTGTACCATAAATTAGGTCCCCACTTTGGGAAGGCTGATTTCCTAAGTACCTAAAATATAGTTGTGAATTAGAGGCCAAGTAAGGCAGACTGGAAGCAACTGTGGTTTGCTGTACACTCGAAATACATAAGGTGGCACTTAGGGGATAGAACCCTACGCCAGATGTTACTTAGCATCCAGTTCCTTCTTCTGAAGTTGTATACTGCAGTAATCTTGTGTGGGTCACAGTTTGAAGAAGCTGACTAAACATGATTACCCTAAGCACAGATAAAGCAGAGTAGCTTCTCGATTTGCTCTGTGCCTGAAGGAGCAAGCAGAAAGGCCAAGTACTCAACTCCATACCTGACGATAAGTAGGATCCAAGATTCACCAGAGAAAAGACTATACTTCATGAAGAGAAATCTCACTCTATGAATATCTTTAATACTGTGTAAAATAGTTTCTGAGGTTGTTACCAATAGCCCCAAAGCCCCTGAGGTCACTCCAATATGTCCCACTAGAAGACCAGCCTTGGACGTGAAGCCATCTTCATACATCCCTACCCCTCCTCAACACCTCTTTCCTGCCTTCGTGGTCACAGCGAATTGGAACTAATGTCAGGAACATTTCATACCTGCTGTTTCTAACACATTTAATCCTTTTCATATCATTTTGCACTTAGAAGGACCAAGAGTAGTTTTTATGGTCAGATGCTATTGGGAGGGAGATAAAAGGCAAGTTCTGGCTTAGGCTGGAGTGCTTCACAGGTCTGATGGGGACTGGGTAAGCAGTTTCTACGTGCACCAGTACCAGTGTTGTATATGGTGCTGAGCTTAGGCACAGGACTGGACTAACCCAACCTGAAACAGGCTGTGCTCATACATTTAGAAGATAAACTGCATGGAACAAGAACTTTTTTAGAGAGACACCAGAATGCACTTCGCAGTTTTAACCATTTTCTGAGAAACTAAAGGGGTTTCAAAGTGCATTCTCATTACCACATTTGTTTGATAAATAAGAAGTCACTTACAGTTGTTTTGGTCAATTAGGCCTGACTATCATCTTTTCACTACACAGCAGTAAAAAAGAACATTTTTTTTCTCTGCTATGAGTAATTTTTGTCAAATAGCCTTCCTTAAGATGGTCAATAGTTCTATTATGCTTTTTGTCTATTTATTTTTTTTGAAGAGGGGATAATTGATCTTACTTGTTTCTGAACATTTTCCTTTTATTCTTTTGAGACACTACTTGCTAGTCTACTGTCAGATAGCAACTCAACACACAGTGGAATCAGTGGCAGAACATGAGGCTGACAATAATCACCCTGTGGCAAAGAACAGCTGAAGTAAGTACTCTGAAAGATATTGTTTTTCTGAGTGTTTACATGGATGCACATAGCACCTTCATGAATAGATAATCTTCTCCTTGAGTTTTCTGGTGACCTATTGGTGCCTTCATTGGAATGGAATTAGAGTTTTACCTTAGCAGGCACTGATTGAAATGGCCTTTATATTACATTTAATCTCTTTTATTCTTTAAGAAAAACTGCCATTTCTTGTTTTGATTTCTATAATAATACAGAGAGTGCAATATAAATCAAATAAAGCTTTAAGTACTATCTCAACGGAGCTGCTAACAAATATCAGGAGAGGATTGCAGATGTATTTGATTTATAAACATATTGACTCTTGTGAACTATAATGATTCTGTATTATTAAGGGCAGGATCCTACAAAATGCTGAGTGCCTCTTGCAGCTTGAGTCCTTGACTTGCATTGACTTAATGGAGTTCGTGGAAGGACTAGGCTTTACACTGCAAATATCCTCTAAAAAGCAAGGCTTTAGAAATTCCATCCCACAGCCCTGAGTTTGTTGTCTTGCAAAGAGACATTTGCTCAGTTTATAGGTGAATATTTGTTTTTCACCTGACAGTTTTGCAAACTCAACTAGACATCAAGCTGGATTTTTCCCTATTCAAGCATCACCATCATTAATAAAGGTACTTTTGTCTTGGATACACCTGTGCAACTCCATTAGCCTTCCTCAAGGTTACACATGTGCAACTGAGGTTATATATGGAAGACAACTGGGATGGACACCAATTGACCTCTGGAATATATATTGCTGATGATGATGTGAAAGAAGGTGAAAAGTGTTGAGGTTGGCAAATGGGCTAAACCTTTCACTATTTTTTTCTTGTACTGCATGTGAGCCTGTGTGAGCAGCTGAAAGACAATAAATGCTGAAATCTAGAATTTTGCTTTTATAGCCTCTTTTCAGAGCACTTAAAAGTTGGGTTTTGTGTTGTGGGGTTTTTTGTGTTGTTTTTTTTTTTGCGTGGGTTGGTTTTTTTTCCCCTTCTTCTTCTTTCTTTCTGTTTATTTGAAAGTAGTTCATATCAGAGCTGTGCTCAGTCTAAAATATATCTGCATTTCATAAGTAAATTATAAAGCAGCAACAATCCTAAGTGTGCTTCTAGAAACAGATGCTGCCTGGTGACTTCCTACACACAAACAGATGTCTTCACAGCAAAATCCAAGTGACAGTCTTTGGTCAGTCAATTGTTGGATTTCTATAAGTTGATGCTAAGATTTTTATTTCCCTATATACTCTACTGCTTATCACCCTAAAAAGCATATAATTAGCCTTAACAATTAAATGGTAATGAGCAGACAGAAGAGAAAGGACAGGAGAGATCTGGCATAGCTACAGCTAGCAATCATTAGATTTACAGAGGGGAAAAGACATGCTTCCTAGGCCAAGATATTTTTTATGAATAATTGATAAGACAGTCAGACACAGTTATATCATAGAAATGTAATATATATCCATAATTATAAAACCAGCTTTGTGCAAAAGGACATAATACACTGAAAGGAGATACCAGCCAATATGCCATCCTGAAATAAAATACAGTCACTATTGTGTTAGTTGGCAAAATTTAAATACAGGATTTGAAGCAAGCAAAATGTTCTTTAATCCCATTTTTTAGCACAGTCCAGGCTCAGTCTGCTCAGGAAAATACTGCAAGGCAAAATCAGCAGCTGCATTAATTTGCTGATGATTGAGAGAAAAATGAAAGTTATCCTCATGTTTTTTTTCTCCCTACTTGCTACTCTAACCTACTAATAATACGAGAGTACCAATTTTTTCCTATGCGAGTATATGAAGCATACAAATTGAAAAATCAATGTAATGGAAAAAAAAGATTATCATGCACTGTTTAGAATCAATCAGCTAGAAACAGAGGGGGAGGGGGGGAAACGTGAAGGTGGAAGCATGATGTTTAGAAAATGTAGATATTGAACCTACCCTAAACTAGGGTGTTTGTAGGAAAAATCTACCCTTAAGTCTTAACAGGCAGACTGAGCTATATTTTGAAAATAATCCTATTTCCAAGTTTTTCCAGAGAAATTAATCAGTAGTCTTTCCTTCTTTGAAAAGTCCCCAAATAATAATACAAATATCAATCCCTTTGCCCATAAAAGCCACACAAAAGCAGGTAACCAAGATTTCAGGGTGAAGGGATTATGACTCTCCAAATGCTTTATCAGCACGACGTCTCAGCATCGTTCACCAGAAGGCGGGTGGCTTTACTGCACCCCAAGGGACAGACTTGGGTCGCATGTGTCACAGTCCCTTGAAAACATTGTCAATAGTTTTTAGTTGTGGTCTGAATTCACCATTAGCAGTTGAGTTTAAATCTTAAGGTTTCTCAGTGGTGGAACACTTTCTTCGGCCAAAACCGGCCTGTACTGATCAGAAATAATTACATTGTACGAGTCAGATGTGTAACAAATGGGTTTGAGTCTCAGTTTGGAAATACATTCAGAGGAGGTGGAAAGAATGGCTACTGGCTCTGTGACAGGAGAGTCAATCTTCATAAACCTGCAAGAGAGGGGAGGAAAAAAAAGCGACACAAATGCGCCCTACAAAAGAACAGAGCAGATCACAGCTGGAAGGAAGGCAAACCTTTTAATCAGGTCCTTGAAATACAAGCTGCAGGAAGCTAGAACATTTTGGTGGACTTCAAACTCTTTGCCTTCAACAATAATTTTCAGGTCTGTAAACTCTTTCGCTCTGCGTTGCTGGTTCAACTCCTTCAACATTTCTGCAGAACAGAGAAGACAGACAGTGCCAGGGTTCCCATTAAGAGTTTTTTATTTTCACTTTTTACTTTTTTTTCTTTCTTTTTTTTTTTTTTTTTTTTTTTTTTTTTTTTTTTTGTAAAGAAGTAGAGAAAACAGGAAACAACTTGATATTTTTGTCGGTAAGATTGGCTCAACACAGACAGTCAGAAGTTACAAACATAACATATTAAAAAAAAAAGAAAAAGCAAAAGCAGGAACCAGTAGGTCTAAACAACTGAAATATATATACAGAAAAAAAGCAAAACCAATCCTAATTTTGGAAGGGTTAAAAACAAAACCAAAATATATCAGCATCAGCAAATCAGAAACACTGAGAATGTATTATCACAGAAAAGTTAAAATAATTTGTTATAAGAAAAATCAAGAGCTAATGAACTTCTATTCAAATGCAAATAAGTTTGGAATATACTGGAATAATATTGTAAAATTATGGTATTATGATGCAATATGAATTGGATATGGGTCAAAATAAAACCACAAAGCCTGCAAAAATAACTTATCCCTAACATAGTAAAAATGTGTTAAGCCTCTCAGTTAACAGAACAGTATTTCTAAATAATATATTAATTACAGTGCATAAAAATTAGCCAAAATATCAGTGCATCTTGCAATATACCTTCAGCATATAGACTACAATTGTATGTGCTTCAGAATTAGCTTAAAAGCATCCTTATGATAAAAAATAATCTCACACAGAGAATAAATTACTGCCTTTTATAGCAATTCCCATTTTTTGCACTCCAAGGATTTTTACCATCACAGCATTTTTATTTTTTAGCCTTCAATGGCTTCATTTACAGCAACAATCAACTTTCACACATCATGAAAGACTTGTAATGATTAAAATAACCTATGAAAGTGTTTCCCTCCTGCAATAAAGCACCTACCTTGTGTGATGCCTCCTTTTATAAAGCCTATTGGAACTAACAGAATGAAATAGTAGTAGGCCATGTCTTCATGTGTGGATATGAACTACTAACTGACCTACATGTTTTAAATGCTGGCTGGACTTTTAAGGGCAAGACTTCCCTCCAACTTTGCAGACCAAAGTGGCTCTCAAAATGAATAATGTACTCTTCACCTGGGCAATAGTCTAAGGGTTTAGTGATCAAAATGATAAGAGATTATTTTAAATACTAGAGGATTTGGGGTTTATTTTACGTTTGCAATAGGTCAAGGTTCTCATTTTCTCAGTGTTAATATGCTGAACACATTTCTCTTCAGACAGACCTGTAAATCAACAACAGTTCTTGACATGGAGTCCCTCCTTACACAAAGTAAAAGGGACCTGAAGAGTATGTAACTGTAACTGCATTTAATTCCACTGTGTTTAATGGCACTGGGCTGCCAAGGTGTTGCCAAAGGACCTCGTGGTAAAATTACTCAAATTATCTTTGTGCTCTCCTGCTTCCCCCATGAAACTCGACATGAATTATTAAAGTGCAGCACTAGTGGTTAAACAGGAAAACATGCAAATACAAAACTGTTGCATGGAAAAAAGCTCAGGCTCTCCCAAGCCCCAGCATCTGTGGTGCACATTTTTCAGGCCTAAGTAAATAAATGTCACCTTGCACATTTATGTCTATTTAATGGAAACACAGTAGTGTCTGAAAGGCTAATTATTCTGTGCTGAAATGGGTCAGCACTCTCCAGAGAGCAAGCAGATCATTAGAGAGGGCACAGAAATAACAGCAGGCTTGTGTCAGATCTATAATAGGGGAAAACAAAATACTCTGTCCTGTGGGTGCTACAGCAGGGACTATTTTTCACAAATTCATCTGAGCTGAAGTACAGTGATGCATTTTGAGCTAAATGGAAAATGAGATCTGAATGTTCACTCTTCTGCAGGAAAAGCTTCAGGCTCTTGCTGGAGGTGTGGTGCCTGAGGTCCAACTTGACTATGAACAGCTGAGGTCTCCATTAAAGACCAGTGATGCTCTGGACACAAGGGGTGTTTTGCCTAATTTATGGTCAAAGTGAATAAGGTCTTTGGTTTCACAGGAACAGCACCAGGTGCCTTCTTAGCTGCATATTTTTGGAGGCAGTTGTGGAGGAAGTATTTTTCCACCCCTTTTCACATATGAACAACTCATTTTTTCTTTCATAGTCCATTTTCCCCCTTTCACTTACAGCAGCTACATTTTTCTCCTAAGTTTCTATCATATAATGCCTTAAAGACAGTTACTCTTCCCTCTGAACTTTCGGATACTCTCTTATCCCCTACTTAATTTCACTTCTGTTTTCTGTCATTCCCCTCTTCAAATTTGCTCAACTACTGTTCTCCATCCCCATTTGCACTCTTCCTAAGTTCCCACTCAAGATCTTACTCTCTAGTGTCTCAGGCAGCCCTTCAAAAGCCTCCTTGCAGAAACCTTTCAAGACAAGGGTTCCAAACAAGACTAAATCATACAAGTTTAAGATTGCACTTACACAAGGGGTCAACCTCCATCTCACCTCATTCCATTTCCACCTTTTAAAGCTCATGATCCATTATTCTTGTGTTCAAAGAGGACAGCTGTATGAATAGCAACTGCATAAATGGATCCTGTGCTCCAGGAGAGGAACAGAGTTTAGTTGCACTCTGAATGGGTTGAGGGGCTTTGGAGGTGGGCTCAGGGTAAGCAGGACAGTAGAGACCATCCATGAACTCATGATTATGACAGAGATTGGTGAATAACAAGACAAAAAATTCAGCCACTGCAGTGATGGATGCTGTGCTCTCTGTGCTATCTCTGGTATTGTGAGAGCTGGTTTGAGCATCTAAATCCCCAGATGGCTCTTCCAGGTATTAGGCTGATTATTTGGACTTTACTGAGCACCCTTTAATTACATCCAGGCCTGCAGTTCCTGGGCACAGTTTCTATGTATGTTTTTCCACACTTCTGTGTGCTTTATGCTACAGGCATTCATTAAGGGATGCAAACCAGAAAACACAGGTCTGGAACATTGGTGCAATTTGGCTTATAAAAACCACAGAAATCAGAACAAGCTGTAATCAGAAACTGAAGCTTCTCTTTTTCCTACGGCCATCAGGAGGCTGTATTTCCATCCTTGTCCCCCTGATTTGTTCTAGTGCCCTCCAGAGAGAGAGGACTATGAACAATCCTCTATTTTTGTGGCTTAGTTTCTGAAATAGAAAGAGAAGAGGCATGTGGAGAGGAGAAGGAAATCAGGAGACTGCATTGATTCATTGATCTTCCTCACTGAGGCTCCTTTGTATTACTAAATAACTAGTAGGCATTAGTATTGGACACAAGGTTATATTGGAACGGGCCCTCATTTTCAGAGTATTTGTAATGCTCCCACTGTGCTTAGCCAGGTTTTAATGATTTATGAGGACTCAGGATGAGTTGAAAAACAAATTTTTTCACCAGGTAATAATGCCTGCCAATGAGTTGTAAAAGGAGACAACATAGTGGAGTCCTGGCAGTGAAAAATGATCTCAGTTGTCTCCTGCTAGTCCCTCTTCTGGGCTCCTCCTAATTCTCAGCTTTTCCTCCAACAAGTGGAATTTCCCAAAACCTTCAGGAAAGGATATGCTGGGAATTTCCTAGTGTTTATTTATTCCTCTGGTTTCTTAGTTCTTACACTGGGTTTTCTCTTTTTTTTTTCTTTTTTCTTATTTGTTTTTAAAGTGATCCAGGTAAAAATGAAATGCAAAGACAATTAAGGTGCAAGGTTTCAGC